AATCTTTCCATCCATCAGTACTCTGGTTGGACGCCTGGTCATCCTGGAACTGAGCCATGTCAGGAGGGTCTTAAAAGGTCCTGGGTCCCAGCCTCCTGCCCCTCGGATCTGAGAGTGGGGTTAGTGATCTCCCATGGGCCCTACAAGTCGGGAGAAGAACCCTGAGGATAACGCTGGCCCAGCAGGGCTGCAGTCCCTGCAGAGTGCATCTGAGTTGCTGCCACTTATACACAAGCAACGGGTTGACCCAAGACTGAGAAAGCGTTGTGGCAGTTCCCCAAACACTCGATCCGTCTCACCCCAGGAGCTACCTCCTGACTCGCTGTTGTGCACGCTGACTTACGGCAGTCATGGGGTTCGGCTCCTGTGAGCTTCCAGTCGTATTTTTGTCAACTGTTCAACACAGAACCTTGTGTGATGGATATTTCTATGTAAAGACATCCTAGGCCGTCTATTTCTCATGATAATTGATTACATGCAGTATTTCTCCCAACCCTACATCAAGAGACTATCAATTTCTTGGGCTTTCTGCTCATCCACTGTGCTTTGTAAACATCACTCATCATCCAACGGATCTGCAGATTTAACCACGTTTCCGTAACTTCTTCTCACACCACAAATGTTACATTAGCACTTCCCAGAGCAGTCTCACATATGGATTGGCAAATTTCCTCTTCCTTTCTCTGGACGTTCTCTCTGGTGGGTTCATTAACACTGAACTCACGGCCAACTGCACGAGCTCAGGCCTGAATGGAGCCCGCCTAACAACGCTGATTTTCTCCACCAGGCAAATCCCAAGCTTCTAGCACTTGGGAACAAGAAGCCTCAGCACCCCACGTGGGGGTGATTTTATCACTGCCACCACCAATCAACAAAAACCACAGCAATGCAAAAATAGGGCCCCCTGTGGGCCGTGAAGAGCTTGCAAGCTGAGAGCAGTGACAGAGGGCAGCCTTGCTCGTGCAAGTTAGGGGATCACACTTCCTCCCCTTGCCCATGTCCACAGATGACCGTGACAGTGCCGTGAGGATGGATTTCAAGGTTACAATGAGGACCAAAGTGTGCTTTGTTTGCAGAAGAGGCTGCTCGGGGAATCCTGACCTGGGTCTCCCCAGACACGTAATTCATCTCTTTGCTGCAAAAACTCTACAGTGGAAGTCTGTGTTATTGTTTATAACTTTCCAATTTGCTTCAATAAACATGCATTGCTTTGAAAAACCTTTCTTTTAACTTTTACTACAAAATATTCAGAGATCACCTCTGTTCCCCACCTGTTTTCTATGGCTTTAGGAATTCTACTTTGTTCGTGTCTCTCACATCATCCCCTTGCCCCAGTGCAGGCCTCTTGGTCTCATCGGAGACCCAGGCAGGAGGTCCACCTGCAGGGGGGGTCTTCTCAGGAGACACCACGTCCCACAGCACACGAGGGCTCCAGAGCCCAGCATTCCAAACGGAGTGAACCACTTTCATATCAGCCAGACCAAGAATAACGTCCTCTGTGGGTTCACCACTGTGTCTCGGAAGAAGGAACCATCCAATTAAACCTGTGTACTGTGCTGCCCTGTGGGACAGCACGTAAGCTACCACTTGCAATGCCAGCATCCCATGTCGGGGTGCCAGTTGCAACTGCTTCCAATCCAGCTCCCTGCTAACGTGCCTAGGAAAGCCGCAGATGATGCTCAAGGACTTGAGGCCCCGTCATCCACGTGGGAGACCAGGATGAAGTTCCTGGCCCCTGGCTCTGACCTGGCTGCTGTAGCCACTTAGAGAGTGAACCAACAGATGGAAGATGTGTGTGTGTATGTGTGTGTGTGGTGTATCTCTCTCTGTGTTGCTCTTTCAAATAAATAAATCTTTTTTTAAAAGGTCCCTTGGTATCCAAAGGAGGTGAAAGAGTGATAAATAAGTCATCAACATCTTAATGACATCACAGAGATGATGGTATGACCAAAATTGAGAAAATACCCACGGCAAATAGTGTTCAAGTGAGGGGCCTGTGCCGTGGCGCAGTAGATTAATCCTCTGCCTGTGGTCCTGGCATCCCATATGGGCACCGGTTCTAGTTGCAGCCGCTGTGCTTCCAATCCAGCCCTCTGCTATGGCCTGGGAAAGCAGTGGAAGATGGGCCAAGTCCTTGGGACCCTGCACCCATGTGGGAGACCTGGAAGAAGCTCCTGGCTCCTGGCTTCAGATGGGCCCAGCTCCAGCCATTGCAGCCATTTGGGGAGTGAACCAGCGGGTGGAAGATCTTTCTCTCTGTCTCTCACCTTCTCACCGTCTGTAACTCTACCTCTCAAATAAATAAAATCTTTTTTAAAAAGTGTAAAAGTGCTCCCATGAAACAAAAATGCCTTCAAATGCCAAAAGATAAAGGGCATGAATCAGACAACCCTAAAAGAAGAACAACAATTGGACACGGCGATCACCGGGAAGTGGTCAACACTGACAGACAGCCTGGGGATTTAAAGAAGGAAAACACAGTTTACTCAAAGACAACCACACCAGCAAGACAACCAACCATACAGAAGAAAATGCCCTCCACTCCCTGCAGGCCCAGGGAGTGGAGATGAATACATCAGACAGCATGTGGCCCAAATGGAACATTAAAACGGTAAATAAATAAATAATTACAAAAACCATACAGCACCCAGGGAAATGCTTTCAACTCATCAGATGGCAAAAGCTGGGTGGCAAAGTTGCGCCTGCATTGACGCCCAGGGCTTGAGTGCGAGAGGGATCCCCGCTGGTGAGCACAGCCAGCCCGGCAGGCTGGCGGGAGTGCACGTTCCACATTCTGCCTCCGACCCGACTGTGCCGCGAGCCCTGGTGCAAGGACTACAGACGCGCCGCCCGTGCTCTGAAAACTGGCGGCTTCGCTCTTCGGGCTGTGCGCTGGGCAGAAGAGGAGAGAGGGACGCCGGCAGCTTCCCCCGACACAGGCTTTCTAAGCGCTGCTGCTCACACATCAGTGTGGCGTCCTGTTGGAAGGCAGACTTGGAATCTGCAGTTCCTGAGGGGGGCTCCCCAGTGACGCCAGTGCTGCTAGGCTGGGCCACACCTTAACAAGTGACACCTAAAGCATGCAGGTGGCCGATGTCGCCCTTTGTCCCTACAGAGTTCACTGTAGCCTGCACTCTAGGCAGTGCCACACTAACTGTGCAGAAGGAACTGGGATCAGAGAGGTCGTTGTGCAGCTCAGCGGCTCCCTGTGCGCCTGCTCAAGGCCAAGCCTACGTCCTCTGGGGAACGGGATCCTTCTAGGCTGTGGATCCAAACCCAGCTCCCCCAGATTTCCCGGTGTGCTTCCTTCACAAAGAACCTTGCTTTCAAGATGATGGCTGTCTCCAGTGGCTCCCTCCGGTCAAGTTTCAAAGAGCTCCTCGCGGGAAGTGGGCTGTGGGGTCTGCAGACTATGAAGACCCCGCCCACACAAGCCAGGCCCCGTGGAGTCCCCAGAAGGAGCGCCCAGGCCCATTCATCAGGACCTTGGTCAGCCCCGAGCTGGGCCCTGCTGGGTTCTGCACTTGATGGAACTCACTTGTGAGCAGACGAACAAGTGTAAACACACGGGCATCCACCAGCTTCCGCGTCCTGGAGAAGAATCGGCTTCAGTGAGCTGTTCTCCAGTGTCTCAGACGAGAGAGCTTGCTTCAAGGCCTCGCTGTGCTCAGGGAGACAGACTGCCTGCCTTTCCAGTCTATGCAGACCTCCTGGTCTCTGCAATGCTCAGCACATCCCCACCTCCACCTGCCCTCTCAAGCAGCCACCACCACGCCTTCCCTCCCCCCCCCCCCACTCCTTCATCCCACAAAGGCCGTGGGAGCATCTGGTCACCCAAGCACAAAACCAGCAAAACAAATGGTGAGATGGGGTCCAGCGTGCACCTTCTCTGGCCCACACCAACCCCTATGGCTGTATTGCCATGGATAGGGAGTCAGGCCGGGCACCACCAAAGACAGAGGAAAGATGATGACAGCTCCGGCCTGAAGCCCAGACCCAGGGCCCAGAGTTCCCTGCCCACCATCAGCACAGCAGCAGTGCCCGTGCACCCCCCCACCCCCCCCGCTACAGGCTGAGCGGCTGTGAGTGACAGCCACACCCGACAGGGAAGGCCACTTCTGCTGAATGATCTTAAGAGCAAGTGGCGTCAAGACGCGAGTGCCAGGAATCCACAGCCAGAGATTTACATTCCGAACACAAACGCTAATTATATATGTATTTTCTAACTCATGAACTCTTCTGGGGGGAAAAAGGAATAATTAAGGCTTTAACAAACATGAAAACAGTCCAGGAATTGGCCAAATACAATCCCAATAATCACATCTTTGTACACTCTCGGTGGGTCCTGTGTTTCTTTTCCCTCTCTTTGGGAAAGGCAGCTTTTCAAGTGTTTATTATAATGCACGTTTGCTTCGCTGTAATTAAGAGAAAATACAGTTACGTTCTAATCCATTGCCCTCATTAGCATGCGATTCTTCTCCAAGACGCTGTCAAACCTTCAAATAACGATTTTCAATGTGGTGATTTCACAGCTAATAGTCCGCCAGGCCAAATCCCTGGCTTTCAGAAACAGCCCCCTGGGTGCGGGAGCCGCTGTGGAAGGCACTCAGGCTGCCGCCGGCCCGTGGGCACCCAGGGCGTGCACAGTCGGGCGGATGTGACCACCCACGCCCCGTCCACACCCTGCCACTTGTGTCACAGGGCACTCCCCGTCCCACGAGTAGTGGAAACCCAGGGCACTGAGGGTGGGGGCAGGGGTGCCATCTGCTGCCCAGCACCCCTCGACCTCTGGACCTGAGCGGGAGCTTACGAGAGGCCGGGTCGTCCACACAATGCGCCCACGTCTCTGAGCAGTGAAGCACCCAGCTTGTGACCTGAATGGAAGTTAGCCCGGGCGCTCCCAGCCCTGTCACCAGCTTGGCCTTGGCTATGGCGACACCCCAAAGACGCACCAACCCCCAGGTCCCTGTGCCCCCTTCCCTGGGGCAGCAGAATCCTACCTGCTCTTGGGGCCACTTGGGCCTCTCCTCTGGGGTCCTAGTCTTGTTCTTGAAGCCTCTCTGGGGGTCCCCGGAGAGCTTGGCCTCGGGAGGGAGGTTCAGCGACTTGGGCCTCGCCTCGTGCCTGTTGGGGCCACGGCCGGCCTCGCCAGGCGGGCAGGCCTCCGTGGAGTCCCCGGGCCCCGGCTCCGGCGCGTGCTCCGGGCTGGCCTCACTGGCACTGGCAATGCTGGTCATGCTCAGGCTCATCTTGATCTCAGCCACGATCTGGTCGATGTCCTCCTCCTGGTCCTCCAGGTCCCCGTCCCCACGGCGCAGGCGGTAAGGGGAGGCGCCGCCCGCGTTGCCGTTGGCCTCTGTGGGGTAGTAGTCCTGGTAGCCCTCCTTGCCGGGACAATAGAGGCCGGCGTCCTCCTGGTCGTGGGCCTCCAGGACAGAGGGCTCGTCCTCCGGGATGGACAGGTGGCCATCAGGGTAGCCCTGGCTGCCTTCGGCCCCGTGGCCCAGGGCGTGCGGGCCGGCCGAGTCCGTCCACTCCTCCACCGCCTCCTGGCACTCGTCCGTGTCCACGGGCGGAGCACTGTGGGCCAGGTACTCCTCGCCGTTGCAGTCCATACCCTCCAGGTAGCTGTCGTCCTCGGGGCAGTAGCGGATGTAGTAGGTGACGCCCTCCTCCTCCTCCGGGAGGCCCTCGTCATAGTCCTCCTCCTCCGAGGTGTTGTTCACGTACTCGGAGCTCGAGTCCCCGTCGGGGCTGTGGCTGTGGCACTCCTGCTCCTCAGGCTGCAGCGCAGCCACCTCCAGGCCCTTGGGCTCATAGCCTTCCAGGGGCAGCTCCGTGTCCTCAACCTCCGGCTCCTGGCTGTGGGGGACGGGGCCCGGCCTGGCCCTGTGGTCCAACATGCTGCTGGCGGTGCTCTGGCGCTTCCAGTGGGCCATGGCGGACGCTCACGCGGCCATCATCCCCTGGAGGCAGCCACTGTGGGGAGGAGAGGCACAGAGAGCGGAGTCAGACCCCAGGAAGCACCGTCAACCCCAACAGCACGCGGCCGCTTCCCCCGCTGGCCACCAGCTTTGCGTGGAGCCCCATGCAAGCAACACTGCTGCAGCCTGGGCCTCCCCACGCCATCAGACTCGCCGGCCAGAACGAGGTGTGCTGGTGCCAGGGAGAGCGGGGGGCAGGCAGACAAGGCTGGCCACGCACCAGCACGCCTGCGTCTGCCCCGGAACCCACCAGCTCCCTCCTGACTCCTGCCCTCGATGCCCCAGACAGAGGGTCCCACGGTCAGGCCGTTTGCTCTTAAAGAGACAAAGCAGCATTCAGGCAGAAGGCGCAGTGAAGACCCACGAGGAGGGGCCCCAAATCCCCCAGGTGACACCCGTGCTCCATGACACGGGTATGGGCACGTGGAGGTGCCACATGACACCCCCAGTGTGTACAATCATCACGTGACGACTTTAAAAAAATTAAATAGATAAAGTACAGTAAGGAGGTGGACAGGAAGGCTACTGTCTATATTTTCCATCTTCAAGCACTGTTCAGACTTTGTATCTTACGGGATCTATTACTTTCATAATGAATTTTAAAGACAGTTGGATAGTAAGTCACGATAACCAAGTCTGCCCCCAACAGGCCTGTCCCACCCCGCCCCCCTCCTCACCCCAAACCCAGCAGCGCTCACCAGGGCCCTGAATGTGCAGGAGGTGACCTGGCAGAGCCCCCAGGACAGCAGCTCAGCTCGGGCTCGGGAGGAGGCTGCTGCCTGGCCAAGGGGAGGAGATGGGCCTGTGGGCATGGCCCCAGCTTGCAGCGCAGGCCTCACGGCACCCAGGGGTCCAGCAAAGACCTTGTGGATGCAGGACTCTGTACGCAGGGTCACTGGGTAGAAGAGCTGGAGGAAGGGGACCATTCTCTCAAGGGGAGCAAGCGGCCGGGGCAGGCAAGGGCGCAGCAGGTGCTGGGAGGCTGGCTTCGTGCTCCATTTCTCCAGCTGCATGGCTACTCAGATGCTTGCCATACTCTCTAAATCACACCTTCACGTTACACATACTTATGCATTTTTAAGCCTTGTTCTAGAAATCTCATTGAGAAATAAGAGCTTGAAGCTGGCACCGTGGCATAGTGAGCTAAGCCTCCACCTGTGACGCCAGCATCTCATATAGGCATCAGTTCAAGTCCTGGCTGCTCCACTTCTGATCCAGCTCTCTGCTATGGCCTGGGAAAGCAGTGGAAGATGACCCAAGTGCTTGGGCCCCTGCACCCATGTGGGAGACTCAGAGGAAGCTCCTGGCTCCTGATCAGCTCAGCTCTGGCCATTGTGGCCATTTGGGGAATGAACCAGTGGATGGAAGACCTCTCTCTGTCTTTCTTGCTCTCACTTTCTCATTCTGCCCTGAAATAGAGAGAGACAGAGAGAGAGAGAGAGAAGGAAGGACGAACCGACAGATGGACTTAACAATGGTTACGACCCCACATTTACATTTTGGATTATGTCTATTTCACTACAAATTTTAAACATTAGAGTTAAAAGAGACACAGGTGCTTAGCAGGGAGGAGGAATGAGAAACAGCAGCTCAGTGAGTAGTGGGGTGGCAGTGGGCACGGGGGTGGACAGGAGTGACCCTGCCATGGTCACTGCCCAGACGCCAGGCCCACCTCACTGTACATCCTCTTCCTGGCACCCTCTCCCCAGGGAGCTCATAAACCACAAAGTTTTGCGTCCTGTGTCCCGCAGAGCACCCAGCACAGCCCCAGTCACAGCCCACCCCGAGACGGGCATGGTCACACCACGAGCACCCCCAGAACAGCTGAGAAGGGGACAATTCTTCCATGCAGCCCGGGCACGCGGTGTGAGCACAGTGACTGACGGAGCCACCTGCTTCCAGTGCGTGAGTTAAAGGGCACGGACGCTGCCTGTCCACGCAGCTTGTGCTAGAACTCGGAGAGCCTCGCGGCGTGTGCCCAGAGTGGCCCACGACGTCGCACATCCCACGCCAGGAAGGACCCTGCAGGCTCTGAATGACCCGAAACCCTGAAACTGGCAGGATGATTCCAAAGACCCGCTCCCAGCTCCATGCTCCAGATTCTCATGGGAGGGGCCATCTTCCCTGGAAGCAAGCAAATCTGGACACTAGCTGGAATCCTTCATTCTTTACATTCACATATTCACCCCGACTGAGAGGCGTACAATATAAGGTATGGAGTAGCTTACCTTTCCCCCAAATAGTTGGCCCAGTGGTTTTTACACTTTGCTGCCTATTAAATAGGCTAAAGCCCAGGGCATACCTCATGCCAATAAAACTAGAAAGCTCCAGGTGGGAGCCAGGCATCGGTGGGTATAAAGATGGCCCAGGCGACTCCGACGGGCAGCAAAGTGTAGACATCACTAGTTTCCTGGATATCCCGCTACCCTGCAAAGAACAGACTGAGAGCCCCGCGTCCCAGGATGGCTGGTCAGAGACTAAACTCGCCCATAAACCTGGCACTGTTTCCAGAAGTTCTAGTCCATCTCACTTCTTCCTGCCCAGAAGCGGTGCCTCACTCTGTCAAGGACTGGATGCTGAAGTAGGTGGTAACACGCGGAAGGCAACGCTCGCCTCCTCACGCCCATCTTCAGCCCTTTCCACTAGTCACACGCTTGTTCTCCCAACATTCCCCTGTGCTGCTGCCAGGGATGGCCCGGGGAAGCCGCTCACACGTCCAGCCCTGGCTCCCTTCACCCACGCACACCCAGGAATCTCGCCCCAATGTTCAAGTCTTCAGTGGCTCTCAAGGGCTTTGTGGCTTTCTTCCCAGCTGTTGACGTGTCCTGTTGTGCTCCTCCTTGGATATATCATGTGGTGGCTGCTCTCAGAGGACTTTCTGTCCCTTCCTTATATGAGGGTCCTTCAAAAACTTTATGGAAAATGGAATTAAAAGGTAAGTTTTGCTGATACAAAAAAAAAAAAAAAAAAACATGAAAACCACCTATTATGAAAAATTCTCTACATAGTCTTAAAAAAGATTTGCAACAAAATAAATTTATCTTTTAAATCCATTCTTCCATGATCTTTTGAAGCATCCTCATGTTCACCTCTTATTGTTGAGGTACAGAAAAAAAATACAGGGGCTGGCATTGTGGTGTGGTGGATAAAGCCTCCTCCTGCAATGCTGGCATCCACATGGGTTGGCTCGAGTCCTGGCTGCTTCACTTCTGATCAGACTCCCTGCTATGGCCTGGGAAAGCAGAAGAAGATGGCACAAGTACTTGGGCCCCTGGACCCACGTGGGAGACCCAAAAGAAGCTCCTGGCTCCTGGCTTCAGCCTGGCCTAGCCTTGGCCATTACAGCCATTTGTGGAATGAACCAGTGGATAGAAGATCTCTCTCTCTCCCTCTTCCTCCCTCCTTCCTTCTCTCTCTGTATCTCTGCCTTTAAAATAAATAATCTTTAAAAAAAAAAAAAAGCAGCAGCAGAAGATGGCCCAAATGTTTGGCTCCCTGCCACCCACAGAGGAGACCCGGATGAAGCTCCTGGCTCCTGGCTTCAGCCTGGTGCAGCCCTGGCTGTTGCAGCCATCTGGGGAATGAGTCAGCGGGTGGAAGATACATCTCTCTCTGTCTCTCTGTTTCTCTCTCCCTCTCCCTCTGTAACTCTTACAAGTAAATAAACACATCTTAGAAAAGAAAAAGTATGCTAATCTGGTAAACATTCACCTATGGAACTATTCTTAAGCCCTCATGGTTTCTGGTTGATGATGTTGATGCCTCCTTCGGATAGTCACGACTTTGCTTCTCCCTTCTGGCAGGTGGCCCTCTCTTCTGACCGCTTGGCCTGCACGTCCCTGGCCAGTAAAGGAACTAGGACGCTAAGACACATTCTGGACATAGGCTTCACTGTTCTGAAGATGCTTCTGTTCTACTGGGCTGCACCAGGTGGAGACGAGGGAGACACCCAAAAACCCAGCGATCACAAAAACACATTCTGTGGTACAGCAAGGTGAACCAAATTGGCAACCACATGTCACACACCTCAATACAGTTAAGAGATGCTGAACGGATTCACCGTAAGGAATGATGAAAGTGTCATGTGATACATCTATTAACGACCCATCAAAACATCACAATGCACATCACACATGCAAACAGGGGTAACACGTCAATTTTCAAAAGAAAACCTCTGGAATGCAAAGATATAAAATATGAAAACAATGCTTTAAAAATCAAAATTAGAGGCCGGCACTGTGGCATAGCGGGTAAAACTATCACCTGCAGTGCCGGCATCCCATAAGGGTGCTGGTTCAGGTCCCGGCTGCTCCACTTCAGAACCAGCTCTCTGCTATGGCCTGGGAGCAGCAGGAGATGGCCCAAGTCCTCTGGCCCCTGCACCCGTGTGGGGAACCCAGAGGAGGCTCCTGGCTCCTGGCTTCGGATTGGCACAGCTCCGGCCATTGTGGCCAATTGGGGAGTGAACCAGCAGATGGAAGATCTCTCTCTCTCTCTCTCTCTCTCTGCCTCTCCTTCTCTGTGTAACTCTTTCAAATAAATAAATAAATCTTTTTTAAAAAATCAAAATTAATGCAAAAAAATCCATGATGAACAAAACATCAAAATGTTAAATAAAGACAAGATTGCTATTACTGCTTTTTCCTTTTGCCTGAGGCTGCAATCCAGGTCAGCTAGGCACTATTAATGATGCTTTTCTAAAAAACATTTTCACCATTAAATACAACGCTGGCAGCTGGGAAAAGACAGCTCTGTTCTGGAATTTGACATCACAGACCTTCTGATCTGGCTCTCTTCCCCGTGGATACAAAGAGACAGGGAGCCACAGTGGCCACCAGGAAGGGGCCACGTCTTCAAAGACTCCGCAGAATTACATTTAACCTGCTGGGCACTACTGGGCAATGAAGAGGAAATGCCCTCCCATCAAAGGGAGGGCTGAAGGTCCTTGTTTAAATTCAGGCCTCCGTTTACTGGAGGGCCTTGGGAGAGACATTT